AAAAAGTAACTAAGTAACTAAGTAATTAATTACTTTTGAAAATAAGTAATCAGTAAAGTAACAGGATTACTTTTTGGGGGAAGTAATCAGTAATTAGTTACTGATTACTTTTTTCAAGTAACTTGACCAACACTGCTAAGAAGCAACAGAAGAAAAGTAAAACATGAAACCAAAGACAGATGACTATCAAAATAAAGCAGGAAGTAACTAAACTGATATGACAGACTAACATACAGATTTGACACAATGTGACACAAGGAGAAGACTCAGATGGTAAACAGATTAAGCCTTAAACAGGATACTAACAGCAGAAACATAACTAAATAAGTTTAAACAATAACAAAACTAAGAACCAAATAGAAGACGGGCTTATTAAACAGGCACTCAGAGTCCACAAATGAAACATCTGGATCCAAAACCAGAACGCCTACGGTTCCCCCTGCAGGTAGCTTGCTCTCAGGACTTGAGACCACTTGAGTCCAACTCAAATCAAAGATAAAGACAAAGTGTTGTCTAATTGAATTCTTAGCTGTAAGTTAACTGGTCTAGTTTTCAGAAAACAGAAGATGTTATCTTTCAAATGAACTCCCTCATATTTATTTAGAGTTGTAGTGAAATGTTTTATTTACAGATTTATGCATCTAAATACTTAAAGTAAGGCGTGGGTGTAAGCCAAACCCTAACTTTAAATGAGTCTCTGGTGACTTGATGGATGTTAAAATGTAAAGGTGATAAATGTCAGAGCTCAGTATTCATAACGAGACGCTCCTGGTGAGTTTTTGGGAGAAGTGGAGGAAGGTAAGGAGGTTAAAGCCATGGTTCCTTTACCTTTACCATGGTATTACCAGCACCTGTCTCCATCAGGGTCATCATTACAATAGAATTAGTTAAATTGTCTGAGATTTAATCAAAACTTCACCTTTGTAGTCATACATTGTGGACTCAGACAATAAAAAGATGTGAATGTTTGTGTAGAAGTCCAAACTCTTACTCACACATTTGACCCTCCTCTTCCTCTTTGTTTGAACACGTCAGTCCGGTGCTAATCGGCTAATATGCTGCAGATATTTACAACACAACAACATCAGCGTCAGCAGTGTGGGGTTTTTCCACGGTGTGTTTATCTTCACTGATTTTTCTGACTTTATAGTCTGAGAACATCAAGTCTGTTTGTCTGATGGGCACTGCACACAAATCTGTCGATAACAGTCTAAAAGGAGACGGCCACTCGAGAGCGAATCGTCTACCAAGGCCGTTGCTCGTTGCTTTTTAGAATAAAGACATTTAATGGATTCTTCTTTTGCAGATGCTCCTGCAGCAAATTTCATTAAACATTTCCTGGTAATTTTTGTGTAGTCTTACAAACTGATAATTAGAGAAGTGCCATTGAAAATGTATTTGTACCAAATTTAACTATGTTACTTTCTACTTTAGATGCAAATATTAATATCAACATTGTATAGTAAGTAAGTAAGTAATTAAAATAACCAGCTGGTGTGATGATAAAGAGATTTATACAACAATACCTAAACAATAACCGTCCAATAGCACATCTGCTTAACTGCATATGACTTATGACTAGCTTGCAAAACAAGTATGCCAGATAAAAATATATATGACCTTAATAATAAATAAATGTAACAAATAAATAATAATACAGCAGAAAGAGGAAACCCACAAACAAACATCAGTGTCAAAAATAATAACCACATTACTCCAAGAAACAAGTAAACAAACCAAAACACAACAATAAAATAAGAGTCCCTCCATCTAACGTTAGCCAATCAGACCATTTCTCAACGAATGGCAGCTCACTGTGTCGCAGTGTGGCAGAGGCCGACTGTATGTATTGTGAAGAGTGGACCCAAAGCGCAGACACGAAGGAACTTGGACCAAAACTTGAGTATTAACAATAAGCGAGCCGTTTAATATGGCTGATAAAGTACAAAAACAAAAGGCAGATGCACACAAGAAAGAACTTAACTAGAACTAAACTTGGAAAACAAAATGCTAAACACAAAAGGCAAAGAACAAAACCTTGAATGGTGCAAAAAACCTAAACATGGA